TATATTTTAAAAATAATAAAACGCACACGATATATATAGACAAAAAACGAGTGATACCAGAAAAAAAGAAGGATAACGACACTGTATATACAGACTAAAAATACGAAGAAACAAATATATCGTCGTGTATGAACAGGAAAAACGAGAATCATTATACATACACTTAATACTGTACATATACAAAGAAAGAAAAGGACCAAAATAAACCAAGTCAGAATATCCTAAAGACAAAATGTTATGCAGAACAACAAAAGAATTTTAAAAGTGCACAAAATGTCTTTCCTTTTCGAAACTGTTACTTGTACTTGTGTTGGGTATGTCATGATACTCGATACAACGCCCGATAATGATTTTCTGTAAAGAATTCATCTGTTAGGTGTTGTTCACACTGTATCCGTGTTGTATCATCCTTGAAAACCGTTCAAATATGTCTCGTATTACTTCATATGTGTAGCGTTTACGGCGCATTTTGATACTTGTTTTATGACTTCGTCGTTTGCGATCGCGTTCTGTTCGGTGCGGTGTCTTGTGTTTCAATGTCCGTGTGGTTGTGTTTTTTGTGGAGATCGACCGATCATTCAAAACTTGAGCAGCCAAAATATCTGTCGAGGCTGGTCGAAACATGATGTACCAGGACATCGACTGATTTAATTGTTGTCGGTTCTGTAGTTGTTGATCGTCGAATTAATTGTTCAAACGTCGCTTCATAGCTTTCGACCTGTTGTTTATTCCATTCACCTTGACCTGTCAGCTCATATGTCATCCATGTTTGTAATTCCGGATCGAGCCCACATGCCCATCAACTTAATGTTAATCGTTTATCAAGGAACGTTCCAAAAGTGACAGCAATTGCTTTCTGAAGCGACCAAGGATTGTTGGGATCCCGATAAGCGCTGTTGTCAATGGAGTGGACGAATGAATTGACTTCGTACTTTGGAACGTTGACTTTCAAGACATCGGGTTCATCGTCTTCCAATGGCAAATTTTGTTCGACAAAGTTGAACTTATTGTAACACGTTTTAAAGCCTCCCTGGATGTTAACCAATTTTGTATCATACGGTAATCGAAACAGTTGAAAACACTGAAAAGGTTCAAACTCTTTCCGCAATTCGCCTTAGAAATGAACCGTTCTACCACTGTTAAAAATAGCTAATGACAGCCGTTGGATTTGTTTAAACAGAGACGATGTGGACGAAGGTAAATGGGCGCATTCAAACAAGATAATAGGTGACGGACCATTTATACGAATTAATTGAACTTGACAAGTGCAGGTTCATCGGTGTAGTGATCGAACTCTGTGTCGACAGTAACAGCATTTGTTTGATGTGCTACTTCGATTAGATAATCAATAGTTGTTTCTGATGTTTCTTTGTCAATGTGATAAACCTGGAATTCGTCTGGTGCAACACAATACGATGTCGAGCACGCTGGCTTTATTTGTTCATTTTTCTTGTCGCGTCGTATTTCCCACCCCTTCGATATCTTGTTTTCTTACATTTCCCATCTTAGATGTCTAATATATCTGACTATAGAGTGAAGTTATAAAATTTATATAACAGCCACATGCGTTATTGAGGATGTTTGCTATTCTCCTTTTATGTTACACGAAACATGCAAAAACAGAATGTGATGTATATAAAAGGCATTTTGTTATTTTCTTAACGTATAATGTGCAGATTACTTCGAGTCGTTTTTGCAGTTTATATCTCCTGCGTCTGCCTGTTCATCGTAAAATTTGGGAGAAGCAAGTAATTAGTAAAACAACACATGGCAGGTTAAGTGAGGAAGTAGAGAGGTGAATTCTTCGCACTTTTCCAACGTTTTCTTTGATCATTGTGAGTGTACAAAAAAGAATAAAATCTTTCTCAAAAATAGTTTATAGTATAAAGACTATGGCATAGTAAGAGTAACTCCAGAAACTAATTGTACCATATTCTCGAAGAAAAGTCCGAGTAAAACATAGTACAGTGAAGTCTAAAAACTGTCGCAGAAAATATAGCATTAACGTACAACAATCTCTCTGTGTGATGAATGACAGCTCTAGCTAATTCGATGCACTTCAGTTGCATTCGATATCTGCTCAATAGAGTTGTCTGTTCTGATTCAAAGAGAACTAAAGCGTATAAGAAAATGTTGAAAAATAACGAAAAGGTTTATTATAAGAAAGAAAAATACTTATACTTATTGTTTTCGTTTTCTATCATCTGTACTTGATAGTAGATCAGACGACAAGAGTATAGATTCGTAGCTCAGTAAACTATAGAGACCATATGAAAATATTGGTTATGCGAAAATCGATACGAAACAGCAACACCTACAGTATAAAATGTATCTACTAGCTGAAGAGCGCTGATGGCACAATAGATAAAACTTCTGTTTATGGTGAGACAGAATCGAGAATCCTCGTCAGCGTGTAAATTTTTTTTCAAATATTTTATAAATTTATTAAGGAGAAATATCACTGCGATTTCTATAGAGTTCTGAATAGTACAAAACAATTGCTTATTGAGATTGAGTCTGTGTACGAGCAGATTCTGGGTCGATGGCTCGGTTTAGGTAAATTTTGGTTTGCTACGACAGACATTGGATCCTTATATACTAATATTTCTATTGACGAAGGTGTAGCAAGAGTGTCGAATTTCGTTTTTGAAAATAGAGAAACTTCCGGTATACCTATCTCGCGTCAGCGGCTTGTCGGATTACTTAAAATAGTGTTAGGTAATAACATCTTTCATTTTGGTGGAAAATTCTATATACAGAAATTCGGTACGGCAATGAGAACCCTATGTGCGCCACCATATGCTAACCTGTATGTTTTATTAAATGAACTGAGACTATTCGACAAATGCGAGAAGTTACCTTTCAGAAAAACTGCATCTAATGGTGTATAACTGATCTAGTTTCGGTAGTTCGATTTTGAATTCTAGAGATTTCTTAGTTTTTGAGATTCACACAAACAATTTCGTGCTGAAAATTTGAATTTCAAGATAAAGTAACCTGAACGACTCGAAACATGTTTCTTATAGGTTTTCGACAATGCTCTTTCCAGTGGCATCGTTTTTAAATATTGAGAAAGTTTTCTGAAGGGTTTTTCAGAGACCGGATCTCTGAAAAACTCCTTAGAAAACTTTTTCAAAACCCAACCCTCATGCCATTAGAAAGAGGATCATGAAAAACCTATAAAAAAATGGTTCATGAAATTTTAGTTCACTCATGAACCTAAAGTCCGCCTGCTCTAGCAAAAAATACCCATTGTGACACATCCATCAGAGTTTAGTATTTCGAGCAGAATTCAGTGTCTCTTCAACAGAATTTAGTGTTCAAAGTTACTGAGAAGCACAGAATTTACGGTAAAAACTTAGTGAGAAGCACAGAAGTTAGTATAAAAATTTACTGAGAACCACAGAAATTAGTGTAAAAATTTAGTGCGAAGCAGACAAATTAGCTGCTCTACAGTTGTCGTTTTTGCGATGCCCCATCAAAGTTTAGTATTTCTGGCAGAATTTAGTGTTAAAATTTGGTGAGAACCGCAGAATTTAGTTGCTCTACAGTCAGCATTTTTGCAATGTCCCATCAGACTATAGTATTTCCAACAGAATTTAGGGAGAAGTGCAGAATTTGGTAAGAGGTTGGAGAGTTTAGTTGCTCTTCACCAGAATACAGTGTAAAAATTTAGTGAGAAGCACAGCATTTAGTTGCTCTACAGTCAGCAATTTTGCAATGTCCCATCAGACTGTAGTATTTCCAGCAGAATTTACGTCAAAATTTAGTGACAAGCGGAGAATTTGGTAAGAAGTTGGAGAGTTTAGTTGCTCTTCACCAGAATGTAGTGTAAAAATTTAGCGAGAACCACGAAATTTAGTGTCAAAATTTAATGAGAAGCGCAGAATTTAGTTGGTCTACAGTCATCATTTTGCGATGTCGCATCTGGTTTAGTATTTCAAGCAGAATTCAGTGTCTGTTCAACAGAATTTACCGTCAGAATTTAGCAAGGGTTTGCAGAATTTAGTTGTTCGAACCACATCATTTTTCCAATGTCGCATAACAGTTTAGTATTTCCAGCAGAATTTAGTGAAAAGCATAGAGTTTAGTATTTCAAGTAGAATTCAGTGTCTCTTCAATGGAATTTGCTGCGAAAATTTACCAAGAGGTTGAAGAATTTAGTTGCTGTAACCACATCATTTTTCCAATGTCGCATGAGAGTTTAGTATTTCTTGCAGAATTTAGTGTCTCTTGACCAGAATTCAGTGTAAAAATTTAGTGAGAACCACAGAAGTTAGTGTCGAAATTTAATGAGCAGCGCAGAAATTAGTTGCTCTACAGTCATCATTTTTGGAATGTCCCACCAGACTTTAGAATTTCCAGCAAAATTTACCGTCAGAAGTTGAGAAGTACTGAAAACTACTGAAACTTGAGTTACTGAAAACTTGAGTGAGAAGCGCAGAATTTGGTAAGAGGTTGGACAGTTTAGTTGATTTTCACGAGAATTTAGTGTAAAAATTTATTGAGAAGCGCAGAATTTAGTTGCTCTACAGTCAGCATTTTTGCAATGTCCCATCAGAGTTTAGTATTCGAGCAGAATTCAGTCTCTTTTCAACAGAATTTACTGCCATATTTTACTACGAGATTGTGGAAATGAGTTGCTCTAACCACATCAGTTTTCAATTGCCGCATGAGAGTTTAGTATTTCTTGTAGAATTTAGTGTCGATTAATCAGAATTCAGTGTAAAAATTTAGTGAGAAGCGCAGAGTTTAGTTACTCTACAGTCATCATTTTTGGAATGTTCCATCAGAGTTTAGAATTTCCAGCAGAATTTACCGTCAGAACTTGAGAAGTACTGTAAAAATTTAGTGAGAAGCACATAATTTAGTTGCTCCACAGTTGTCGCTTTTGCGATGTCCCATCACAGTTCAGTGCGACTCGTTTACACTTCTTAGTGGGAGTACATATAACTTTTGTTATACAACATGAATTTCTTTCACAATTTAGCTTTATATATTCATGTGGCTAATGCTTCTCCACTATTAAATTCTTCTTTGCTTTCAATTTGTAATTTTGTTATTACTGTTGAAACTAAACCGGCAGCACAATCACAACCATTACAGTCATCGGCCTGGCCAAATGTGACGGAATTCCCTTTTTTCGACTTCTTTGAGCCAGATCTCACTCATTTTAAAAACATAGGTTTTCAAATTTTTACTACACATAAAGAACTTCGAGTCCTAGTCGCACGAAAACGTTCATTCGATTTGGCTCTGCCAAATAAGAGTT